GTTCCGATAACGTAAATATGTACGGTAGATATCGCTGCTGGTCGCATCATGCCGATGCGTATCGCGGACTCCCACAGCTGACCTAGATTATATTTGCCATTTTAATTGTGTCCCGTGTTCCCAAGTACAGGATAGATAACGTGTCTCGCGGTATCACGCGACAATCGACGATGTTTCGACATTCGATCAAGCATTTTAAGTTGCTTTTCCTTTTAAAAGAAACAGGTAACACAAGTGTCGTTCTAGTTTTGTTATTCATTGAAGAAGAATAGAACGACATTTGTGTCAACTGTATCTTCTAAAAGGAAAGCAGCTTTAATTACGAAGAATCACCCGATTGTTCACATCTACGATGAGGTCCGATTTCCACGTCGATCGAAGGAGAGTTTTCCAACCTTATCTCAGAAACGCGCCTTTTTCTAAATTTCCTAATGTCACGCCACACGAAAAGAAGAGCTTGCTGGAATATCTAAACATTTAGATAAATATAGATCTGAAAATAATTTTATTGGACTCAAAAAGATTATATAACTCAAGTTGGTTGAATGTCAAAATTTTTTATGTTATCATACAATTCCTTACATAATTAATTTCATGGTTCAACGAAATTTTTCAAATCTATGTACTATTAGATATCATAGGAACAATGATAATCCTTTTAAGATAAATAACATTTTATTATTTTTAATTTCCATTTAATTTCCATTTTTAAATATAAAACAATTCATTTCTGTAATTAGTTTCAAAGTAAACATTGATATAACATATTATATAACGTATATACTTAGTAAATAATAAATTTAATTTGAATAAAATTTAATTCCTTGAGTTAAAGTTCATTATTTTAGTTAAATTAACAATATATTGAGTAGGAACAGTGGCGATACAAGTACGATTAAAAATAACTCAAATTAGATATAATTTGACATTACTCTTTATAGCTGAATCAGTGGATAATCTTTGATTATCAGTCCTAAGTACTGGTAATTACTAAATTCACAGTGAAATTCAACTAAAACATTAATGAAACATAGAATCCCTAACTAATCTTACTTTAGTGTATATAAATTCAATGCATATGCTATTAGAACTACACTAACGTATAAATATCGATATTTTTTTTAATTACATAATATTCAAACTTTCTTTTCCAAAGAAACTTTTTTTTTGAATTTCACTAATTAGTCAATGGTATACTCAATGGAGACTAATATAATTTGATAGCCATTGATTCAGATTTAGAGAGTATGAATTTAACTTTAAATTTTGGAGAGCTAAATTTTTATCTAGTTCAATTTTATATCTAAATTTTTAGATACTTCAGCAAAATCGTCCTTTTTGCATGAATCTCATTGTTTATTACTGACGACTAGGCGGCTATCCTGTACTCCGGCCTTCACCCGGTTAACTTCGCTTTGCCCATCGGAAATTCAATCGACGCGCAAAAACTCTGTACGGAGATACATTTTAGCGTTGTCAGCTTGGACGTCGACATGAAAAATCGACGTAGAGAAAAAAAATATCGTTCTCGTGAGCTACGAATTAACTCCGGAATTTGCCATTATAACGACGATGGAGACACGCGGCGAAATGTAGGACACGAGTGGTCCGCGTGTCGCGAACGCGCGTCTGAAAAGTACAATTGCCAGGATAATTGCTGGAATTAGCATGCAAGCGGGCAGACTGTATTAGCGGCGTGCAAGACGTGAAATAATTTAATCCAGCTTCCGTACGTCAGCGTCAACGAGAACTGCTGCACTCGTGACAAAATGATGATGGAGGAAAGAGGGAAAGCGAGGCTTATTTCATTCGCATTTTTTTTTTCTTCATTCGAAATATGACGTATTCATCTTTTTGCGAGACGTTTGCAGAATTTCGAGGCTCCTTCGCGCGCTATATTGGAACGACGAAGTAGAAGCTACTCGACGCATCCATGTTCCCTGCGATAACTATGCTGATATACCTCGTTGAGCATTGGCGCGTTTAAAAACGCGCTCGAGAGCGAGAGAGCGCGGCGTGTGCACTCATGGCATATTAGATTCTTATATATCCGTGCCAAGGATAATCACATGAGTCCCGGCCATGTGGTTCCCGGCCTCGTGCGCACGAAGAGGATCCACCGAGGCTGCTCTTATCTACACTGCTTCAAGTAAGGAGAAGCGAATGATTTACGAGTTCGTTGGACCTACCGCCGCGCCTTTCGACCGCACGCCATCGTTGCGCGCATTTCCTGCGCGTTACATCGTCCTGGACTTTCCTCGATCGCATCCTGTTTGATTTTACAAAGCCAAAAGACCTGCCAGAAGGTCAAACTTTTTCCCCAACACGGAAAAGTGAACATTTTTTGTATGCACACAGAAAAATATATCATTCTACTGCAAAAAAAAAATGATTACTCAATTTATTTTCTTCCTTTTAAGTAACGGTTATATATATTTTTAATAAAGAATATTTCCTTGATAATTTTAAAATATACTTATTACTTACAAATTAAAAAAAAATTCATTATTATCAAAACGAAAATTTTTTAAAAATATATAATTGATCGAAGAAGCGGCTTTATATAATGACTGAATTGAATTAATTTTAATTTAATGATCTTGATTGAAGTATTAAACTTATCAAGATTCAAAATAAATTTGAATAAATTTGAATAAATTTGATGCTTGTGATAAACTTATTATACAATAGATTTACTGACATTTGAAGTATATATTTGAAATAAGTAATTATCATTTACATACAGTAAGTATTTTTCTGTGTGTGCTTTTGAGGCTTCCACGGGTATTTACTTCAAAGATGCCAGAAGGTTTATGGGTTATCGCCATGTCGTAATCCATTGCTAATGACATTAGCAATGGATCACGACACGGCGATAACTCGCAAACTCTCTGGCATTTTTATGTATGTAGATATGTACATATACACACGTAGAAAAAAATTTTCACTTTTCATCTTTCCGCTCAAGATAAAAAATTGAATGACTCCCTGGTTTACTTGAGGCATCCCGAAATATTACAGACAGTTATGATAGGAAAATGTGAATACTCTCGGCTTCCGTCCATCTTCCCGCATTACGAATAACGGATGTGCTCTGGCGTGAGCGAATTAAACCGTTTATATACGGATTATGCATTTTAGACTTCTGTTTCAAGCACCAATGTAATCCCGGCACTAATCCGATGTTGCCCGCTTTAGCCGAGCCGCTTTCCACGCATGCGTTTCCGTCTCGTGTAAATCAACTAAATTTGATCCGCATTAGATACCTTCCCACATAATATAACGTAACGCGCAAACACAGCTCACACCGGGCTAGCTGTCGATCGTATTTCGTTACGTCATACCACCAGCCTCGCGGATATAATCGTTAGACGAGAACATAGCTAAAAATCTGTGTGTAAGCTAAGGATAATCCTTCTCAGTGCGATATAACTTGTCGATCACAATGATACATTACGTTTTGCGCGGATGAAACAAGCTTTAAGCGGATAACCCAGAAATTCCCGAAATTAAACCCGATCTCATTTGCGCGCGCCTGACAAGATTCGCCAAATTCCCGGGGCTCTTCTGAAATCAAAGTAAATTCCTGCGGAAGCTAACCTGGATTTATACGGGGCCAATAGGCTTCGTTAAATATGTACGCCGGAGTTTGCCCAACGTCGGCCGAAATTCCCGCGTCGACCGATAAACAAGCTTCCAACCAAGAAAAAGTGGATTTAAAACGGTACCGAGAACCCAGCGTTATACGTAGCGTGCGCCCTATATAAATGGATAAAGGTACGTGCCTTTTATCGAATAATAAGTACAACACACTTTAGTATTATGAAATGCCATTTTAAATATGTACCTGAAATCTACTTAATTTTGTTTAAAAAAGAAAAGAAAAAATATATATCGAATAACATCCACTTTTATGTGTCGCAGTATTTGCGTATTTGCGAACCAAATATAAGTACGAATAATTAAATACACGAAAAAAATGATTTTGTTGAAGTACTTAAAAAAGCTAGATATAAATCTGAAAATAATTTTGTTTATCAAAATAATTATGTAGAACGCTCAAACTCATTAATAGAATGTTTTTGCATTGTCATCAATATTTAACCTTAGAACAACATTGCTATTAAGTCATACAGTATTGTTATCGAGACGCAAATTTTATGTATGAAGAAATAAATCTCTCTTGATTAATGTAACGTACAAGTTTTTTATATTTCACATCATGGTTGTCACAAATTTCTTATCCTAAAATTCCATAATTAAAAAGTTAATCTTTTTCTGATTTGCTGATTAAAATAATATGGAGGAAGGCTCAAGAAGATTGGCAGAATATTAAAATTTTTTACAGCATCATTCATCATGCTTGAAAGTCCTACGTAATTATTTTGATGATGCAACAAAATTATTTTCAAACCTGTATCAAGCTAATGGTGTGATTCAATTAACATTGCAAATGCTTTGAAGCATTATTTGATTGGTCAATTCGTAAAAGTCTTTCTCCTGATTGATCAACGAAACATTTACAACGAAGTGAATCGCACTTAAATTTTTAAAGACTTCAGTCCTTTCTCTAGCAAAATCGTTCCTTTTCGTGTAATTTAATGCTCAATGTTCTTGCTCATTTGTATGTAAAATTTACATATAGATATAGCATTCTAGAATTACTTTCAGATCTACATCTAGCTAAATTTTTAAATATTTTAGCAAATCCATTTCTTTCCGCGAAGGAAATTCAAAGTCTCTAGCGTAGCTTTCTCCTTTAATTCGCAGCTCGGCGTGCCGTTGTCGATTTTCGCGATTCAATCAAACTTTCCAGAGTCAACGATGCTTTTCTCAACAATAGTGGTTTGACATTTGCCGCGAGAAATCGCGAGGAACAGACTATCGTGTTGGCGACGACGACGACGACGTCGACGACGACGGTGACAAACGCTCGCAAAAATTATACGACGCAAGAAAAAGCGATATGGTCGGTTACTTTCAACGGAATGTTCACATACCTATGGACAACGTTAGCCAAGAGATCGTTGTGCCGTAACCTGTAATCGACGTCCACCTTTTGATAGTTGACCGTCAGGGTGCCGGCACGAATACATCTCTCGTATTCCTCAGCTGGATGGGCACGGAATTCCCTCGCGAAGACTTCCAGGATCTTCTCGCCGACCCATCGACCTTTCGTGAATGTCGTGAAGGTAAAATAATAAGGATATACCTTACGGAGACCTGAAACACACAACGCCGAGAATGACCATGAATACCGATAGGAGAGAGAGAGAACGATAATTACTTCGAATTCCGTAAGCCGTCTTTAAATGTCACGAGGCTTAACGGCTTATATTAGTTACGTTACGAAATGATTCGCGCGATTGCCGCAGGCACTCGCCCGCAATTAATCGGAGATTAGCATCCAAGTTGGCGCCCGAGCGTACTCCAAGGCGAACGTGAATTACGAGAATATAATGTCTTCGAAGCGGAATCACATAATAAATCATGGCAACGGATACGTAAAAATGTCGCTGTTATTTGCGAATCTATTATCGTCCTGCTGTCCCAAGGATGATTGCTTTTGCGGGCGAAATTTACGTCAAGATTAACATAAAATCGATCGCTTCTTTCTCTTTCGTATCTTTCCCGGATAAAAGAAAAGGAAAAGGGCATATTTAAATTTCTGGGACATCCTGTTACTCCGATAACGATTGACTTGGAGATTCGATTGCTTCAAACGCTTCTTCTGCGAACGCATTATTTCCTGATTTCGCTTTTTCTTCTCTCTCTCTCTCTCTCTCTCTCTCTCAAGTGGAAATTAATTCGTCGGTTCGAATCATCGTTACGCGTCACCTTCAAATGAGATTTTCGCTCAGAGAGAAAAGCGAAGCTAGTTGGGAAGTTGATTAATAAACCCGGATAAGGGGAATAATTTTCTCAGCTTCCTCGCGAGAGAGAAAGATCCATCGGTGCGAGGTTAATGAAAGATATACAGCACTTTATAAATTCAGTATATCACTCTCGCTTGATTAAATAATTTGATATCTTTAAAAATTATTCCCTGATACAGACTCATCCCGTGCGCGTTCCTCCGTCTCGAGTATAATTTTACGAGTATTACTCCCGTCGATATTGAAACAGTCAAAATCGAGTGGCGGAACAGATATAAACGTTCTGTTCGTCGTTACCGGCTTAAGAGAGACACTTCTGAGAATTTTACGACCTCGAAATGGCTTCCTTCACTGTTCATCGGCCCTGAGGATAGTTCGCCACGTTTCAGAATGTGCCGAGTCTCACTTGGACAAGTCTTTCGCTTTAGGATTCATGTCGAGCAATTTTGCTGTTATTTTCCGGCGAAAAGAAAATAAATACCAAAAGAAGACTTGATTAATGTCCCGCCGCGCGTTCGATCGCGTTAAAGGCATTTTTCTCATAAATATCCATTTAGAAAACTTATTTAAAAGACAGCCTGCCTATAGGGAATTAATGGATGTCTGACATTTGAAATAAAAAAATTATTCCGCCCTTCATATTGCATTTAACATAAACGTTTTGTTAAAAAAAGGAGAAGATATTTTTACTCAGTCTCTACAATATGTATTCTTTGATAAGGAATCGCTTCGGTGCTGTCGCAACTTTTAACCGTATAGCCTGGTGGAAGAATTAATTTATTCCAACTAGAGTCGAGTCTTTGCGGAAACAGAAATAACTGGAGTTGTGCGGGCATTACACAAAGACTTTGCAAATGATCGACGAAGGAAAATTGGAGGTAGAGAACAAAAACGCATTCGTGTCAAAGAGACCGCACGCGGTTGTATTCCACCAGATAAGCTGGCAAGGGTTGATGAGGCTTTGTGTAAGATCGAATCGGCGCGGAGAATATCCTGAATAAACAGAAACAGTTCGTGAAGGAAAAGAGAAAACCCTTGTATTCTCGCCCGACTGAAGTTACTTTAATTAAATTGCCCTCAGAATGTCGGCGACGGTACTTGTGCAGCACTCTTCGCCGGAAGTAAAGGAGACGGAGGTCATTTGACAATCGAAATGTCTCGAAAGAGTTAGCCATGCTCTCTCAGGGCGTACGGCAAGGATCCGGTGAACGATTGATCCCTCTCGGGCTTTCGAGCTTTCGAGAAATAGAACCATCGGGACGCGGTCGTTTAGTCAAGAGCTTCTCGAGAAACGGAAGGAAATCGTCTTCGCGCATACGAGGGGAAAAAGGGACGAGAGAGAGAGAGAGAGAGAGAGAGAGAGAGAGAGAGAAAGGAACAAAGAATAGGCAGTTTGCTTATAGAAGAAAGGAGAAAGCTTTCCCTCGACATCATCGCGATGAGAAATACATTATCTTCAACGAAGAATTCGCATTATAGAAACGTCAGAAGTGCACGTTGATACGAATTGACAATAAAAAAGATTTGCTACATTGTCGATAAACGCTGCATGGAACATATCCTTATAATCGTTTCAACAATTCTTTGTACGATTTAATAAGAATGTACAATAATCACTAAAAAATATTGTACAGTAACGCCGTAATTAACCGTAAAAAGTCGCTTTTTCCTCGGTTCGTTTATTCTCAGACGATCGTGGATTCTATCGAATTGTCCGTACAATAGCTTAAAGTAATTACGATGCTATTACACACCAATGGGACACGAACCATCGTATTCATTGCAGCGGGGCCAGTAATTGTCCCCGATAATATCGAGGTTGTTCCCGAGGCCCCTCGACATCTTATCCTTGACAACCGCAATACTTTCTTGCTCCCCTTGTTTTTCCCCTTTTGCAATATCTCCGTTTCTCTCCGCGTTTTGCTCTGTAACATTATCCGGCGCTCTCTCGGTTTTCCCGTCGATACTCTGTGCACGGAAAATCCGTCGGCACGCCCGCAGAATTTCGCCACAGAAATCTGTTTCCCCGACGGCGAGATATCCTCTCGGCCCTTGTATCCTACCAACGTACGTGAGAGTTGATTTTCGAGAAACACTGAGCCGGAAAAATGAAAACGTCTGTCGTAAGTAATTTGAGAAAGGAGCGTCTTTCGAGAGGTTTATTGTAAAAGAACGCGATTGAAATCACCATAATCGATAAAGTCGTTCTATTCGATTATTTCTATTATTCAATGTCATTTTAATGATATCATTTATATTCCATACTTTAGCTAATTTTAAGTTGAACTTTAATAAAATTAATCATCAAGATATTCGGCGAATAAAATATATAAAGAATATAAACCAGGTTAAATTATACAATAGTTAACCGAGCTATAATATCAATTTCAAAATTCCCGAATAACGTCATTTCTTAACTTCTATAAAAACGTTTTTAACGCAAACTTCATTGTTTTATTTCTAATATTATTAAAAATATTAATATTATTAATATTAAGTAATTACTTCTATATGTTTAACATGGAATTGCCATTAAAAGTTAAATCAATCTCAAATTTTCACCAAAATAAAATAGCATTTACTCTGCATTTTATTCAAACTCTACTAATTTTGTACAAAAGAGAGTGATTCCTGATATCGATTATCGACCACATCAAGCTGTGCTCTCAGAAAGTCAGGGTAGAAACGAAGCCACGTCTCGTCGTGAGTCAGCTCACGGGTTATGGAGGGCTCGAGGGGTGACCCCGAACCTAAACGTCCCGCCCGTCTGGAACGACGCCTTGTTTTACGAGTAGCAAACCAATGGCGGTGTCGTCGTAGGCCGCTTTGGGTTTCATTCGCTATCGATCGTGCCTACACACAACCTGGCGGCTTTCTCGTGTATACGCACGACCGCTTTTACAACGGGAGTAAACACCCTCTGTTGCAATTCGACTCGCCCGACTCGCATTTTTGCGGCGACCCTTTTCACTCATCCTCCGCTCAAATGCTTTGCGCACAGCTCATCGCGACAACACGACACTCTCGTGACATCATTAACTTTACATTACTAGTGTTTTTTTTAATGTAATTTCTCTCTCTCTCTCTCTCTCTCTCTCTCTCGCGCGGAGTACGAGTATTTCTGACATTCTAATATTATATCTCAATTTTCATTGTTCTGTTTGATTTACAATTAACCCTTTGCAGCACTCACATATGACACCTTTTTAATCTCAGTTTTTTTATGTTTTTCTAACATATTACTACAATAAAAAGAACATTATCAGTGCTTAGAATATCAATTGTTATAAAAACCATGGAAACATACCTATTGTTAACGAAATGTATTTTATAAATAAACAAACTGGAAAAATTCATCCTTTTCTAACAATAAATGTGATTGTGAATCAACAATAACTAATCAACAATAGTTAATTAGTCGAAAATGAAGTCTGAGAATAGCTAATTAGTCGAAAATGAAATCTGAGAAGTTTTTTGGGCCTCTGATTACGAATCTGAAGTTAAAATTAAAAAATTCAAAATGGCGGATCCAATATAGAGGACAAAAGAACAAAAAATTGTTTGATTTCACTGAAACTTGTTACTCGAGAGTTTTCGCGGTTTTTTTGAATTCCTAAAATCTGATATCAGATTCGTAATCAATGACCTCCAAGTAACAAGTTTCATTAAAATCAAGAAATTTTTCACATTTTTGTCCGCCATATTCGATCCGCTATTTTGAATTTTGAAAATCTGAGACCAGATTCGTAATCAATGACCACAAAAAATTCCCGACAAATTTCAACTGAATTCTACGTAAAGAAAAATGTATGCTTTAAACGGTTAAATGGAGATTAATAATATTCTACACGGAAAGAATGCTATTGCTAAAGTTGTGTTGCTTACAAATTGTGTCAATATTATATTCTTTGTTATTAATTTTTTTACATAATATTTATGTTACCTTCTAACATATTCTTGTGTTAAATTAATACAAAAATTTGAGTGGACTATTTAGGACATACGAAATATGTTAAATGTAATACAAATTTTCTACTGTACCTCAAAACCATTCTTTCTTTTAGATAAAAATAAATACAACAAAATTTTGTTTAATTGTGAAAAAAATTGCGCTAAATATGTATATTATATTATTTATATATTTGGAAAATTTACTTAAATCAGATTATTTTGGATACTCCACGAGAGTAATGAAGAATTAATCGAATTATACAAATTGAAGATTTCTCAAAAGTTGTGAAAAAACGAGTATTTTACTCTCTTCTCGGAAAATACTATCGCTTTTTTATTTACAATATTAACATAACAGTGATATTTCAAGAGCACTTTAATTTAAGTAATTTAATA